ACAACTTAATCAAAGGTTTAATGTGATATTTCCCATGTTCTATTTCACTTGTGTGAAGAAAATTGGGGCTAGTTATAAATATCTCCAATAGTGAGCAGCGTATTATAAGGAACAGTATGTCTCAATCTCAATTCAGAACAGTGGAACAGCACTTCATTCACAAGGTTACTCTATTAGTTAAATTAGTTGTACAAATCAAATCAACATGTTCATACGGTTTCATGTAATCTAAACTTTAGACTACACAAAGGGTTGAAACCTCGATAACATTAATCATATTTGTTCTCCAAATGGTCAGGAGTTCCCTGTTTTCTCAAATCATGTGACGTTTTCATGGCAAATGATGTAAAGTGAAACAGTGTGGGCCGAGTGTGAATCCCCTGCCATTTCGAGCAAGTGACCAACACAGTGGAGTCAGATGGAAATAATTGAAATTTAACCAATTTGTTCCTTCCCTCAAAAGGCACAGATAATAAGACAATAGTTGAATAGATTTAAAAAAAAGTTTGCATGCTCATTAGATGAAAGCAGAGAGGGAGGAAGAGGGAGAGATTTCATATTGAGTCTTTTTTTATTTTGATGCTTTGATTATTTCTCTAAACTTTCCTGACGATAAATCCAAACTGAATTGAATTGACCGGAGGGAGTGAGGGACAGAGAGACAGGGACAGAGAGACAGAGACAGAGAGACAGAGACAGAGCTGAAAGGCTGATTGTCATGCTGTCGAGTCTGAAAAGGGCAGGGCAGGTATTGTGATGCGAATCTGCTCAGATAGAGTGGGGGGTAGTGAGTGTATGAGTGTGTGAGTTTGTGTGTGTGTGTAATGTAATCTACAGGGTGTGCCTCTCCGCTACGGATATAACCCCCACCCACAACCACAGGGAAATTATGCTCCATTTCTGCATCGTTTTAGTAAAAAAAACACTCAGTTTATTAACTATTAAATGTGAAAAGAACTGAGGAAAGTCTCGTAGTTATGGACCAATATTTAGACCCAATTTTCTGTTATTTTACTTAGTTATTTTTTTTGGAATCATGCTTTGTCTGTACCTATATATGTGGCTACATGTGTGCAGAGGTTTGTATATACTGTAAAATCTTACCATAGGACAACAGATACAGTTAAAAAAAAAAAAAAAATCAAAACTTAAGTCAACCAAGTATATATCCGCTGTTTTAAAAAAAGAGTAGATCTGCAACCCTCGAGTGAAAATATCTGACTCAATATTGAAATATCTTGGATGAATTTACCTGTGTAATAGAGCAGACAGGGCACAGCGATCAGGAGCTCCAGTCCGAGGACGCTGAGCAGCATGTAGGTCTGCACAGTCTGTGATAACCGCACAGCCAGAACCACCAGCAGCAGAACATTTCCTGCAAAAAACACAGAAATACACACACGTTCTTCCTTTAGCATTACTGCCATCTTGTGGAGAAAGCTGACCTGTACATGTGCAGTAAATTCATTCTTTATTCAGCAACCATTTGAAATAACTTCTTCCTAGTTAAAACACTTTTTAAATCATTGGTAATTTCGTTTTTCTTTAATTCTACATTTTTATGATATACAATTCAAATTACATACAAAAACATATTTTCATCATTTATAATTTTTTATATCTATCAACATTTTTGGCCTTTTAAATAAGTCAACACTTCACAAACACTTTTTGTGTCTTTTTGTATTATAATGTGTCCACCACCAATACTACTAGATATGTAAGCTTGTTTGGTTTACTTTTTTTACCACAGCAGGTTTTGATTATGTCTTTCTTTTGGGCAATCTTGACTTAAGTCTCTCAACTTTCCTTACAATTTATTTGTGCACAGCCCTGCAGTCTCATGCCCTTTTATGACACACTAATAAGGAACTATCACATGCTGTTCATTTACAAAGAGAATGGGTTTGATCATTACAAGGACACAGGTACGAACAAATCTGCAATTTAAAGGACGTCATGAATCAGATATTTCTTTGTGTCTGTACCTGCAGAGTGTACGGTGAGCGGCAGGTGCTTCAGGCCCTGCGTCTGTCTGTAGAAGCGCAGGTACCCTCTGCTGCGGGCCTGGTTGTGGTGGTGCTGCACACACCCAGTGAATAACAGCACCAGCACCCATAAACACACCTTCCCAAACACAATGACACTGTCGCCTCGCACGTTACCCAATATCTTATTACACACATCCTTTTGGCCAAACTCCAACACACACAGCACCGCCACACACATTGACAACACCACGTACACAACCTGAAACAAAGAAGAGAGCAAGAACATATGGTGACTATTGATACACATACAAAATAAAGTCACTACTATTATCCAGATTAAAAGGGTATATTGGATAAACACTTCTTTCATTCACATGCTATATCCTTCATATTCAGCAATTAGTCTTACTTGAAAAGTGCATCTACAACAACTAGCGAACACACAGACACTCAGACCCCAAAGTAAAAACTGTCCCTATTGAACCCATCACTCTCATTCAAACACAAGTCACGTATACACAATGTAAATGACATTGACAACATTAAGGCCTGTGTATGTTTGTGTGTGAATGTGTGTGTAACTTACATGCAGCACAGCGAGCAGGCCTGCATGACCAGGTGTTGGTACGCTCTGAAAGTTTCTCCTGATGGCAGAGTGGAGGGCGTCTGCAGGGATCAGAGGTCCGTCCACCAGAGAGTCCTCCTCTGTGCTGCGGGATAGATCTACTGAGGAGCCTGCCGGCTAAAGCAAACACCATATCATTAAGTTAGACAGTAGGTCTGTTTATAGTTATAGAAAAGGTGATTTGACTGCAAAAAATAAGATATTCATATATTTATATACCAAAAATGATACAACTGCATGTTTCTATATATAAGGTGAACCTGTATATGTTGCAGCTGGTAAAGGTGGAAACTCTTTAATGACTTAAGTACTGCTCTTTAATGTTGCATCATAATTTATTTGTAGATTCGTGTTGTATTATTCTAAATCTGCAAAGTAACTTAAGTTGTCAGATAGATGTAGTGGAGTAAGAGATATATTTACTTTGAATGGTAGTAGAATATAAATATAATTAGCACACAAATAGAAACCCTCTAGTACAAGTACGTCACTATGGTATCAAAACAACAATAGAAACAGATAAATAGGTAGGAACCGGATACAATAAGAGGAAAAATACGTAGAAATCTCAAATTATTTAGAGGGGACGTCAGAGAGTTATGTACAGCGTGTTCGCTTCGACACGCCGAAACAATAATTGAAGTAAAAAAGTAAATAAAGAATGTATCTAGCATAAAAAATAATGTTCTAACTCAAATCTACAAGGTTGTCATTATTCAATACATTGAGGAATAATATATGGTCATTTTGATTGGAATACTGTGGATGACTCTTCTGGCCTGCAAGATAATCGAAACCAAGAATGTTGTTATGATTAATCTAAAATCTGCACCACAACAAATCTGGCTTTCGTCCTGAAAACAGGAAACAGCTGAGAAACCACTAGATAACTGACCACATGTCGGTTTTACTGGATGATAAATGTGTTTACAGTTAAATTACTGCTATGTGATCATTTATGAGAGATCACAGTCGTTTGTTTTGATGTTTTTAGCTTACTGGCTAGCTAACACAAGCTAACTCTTTACAGAACAAGCTAACCGTTGATCTAGCAACCCGTTACCGTAAATAAACTAGTACATACTGCGTAAAGTGCGGGTCCCCGTGAGTCCATTTTGTTGTGATGTTCCACGTTTATAAAGAAGAAAAGACAAAACAACAACAAACTGACATTAGCTTACATGCTAAAAAAAGGGGAGGTAAAATATTAGTAGACTTCCGGTCCCCTTATTTTATGTTTCCGTTCTGTGTTGAACTTTGGTTCCTGGCACAATACATACCGCAATTTCAATAAAATGCCTGATTTCTTCTGATCATAAACACCAGCAGATACATCAAAAAACATTGTCCTGCAATCCTATGCAACAAAAATATAATAATTGCTATCTTTTTTGGCAGCCAGACGATTTAAATGACACATATTTTACCACAAGCATGTTTTTTGATTAACTATTGAATATTACATATTCATTACATTTATCATTAAACTATTTCTATTATCCAAGGTTATCTTATCCATTACTTTTCTTTTAGAACTTGCTCAAATGTATCAAAAACAATGCCTTAAGAAAACACGAATAATACAAATTATAGCAATTTTAGTATTTAAAATTGCCCTTTGACTTCTATCAGTCATGTCTTAACTTTAAAGGGTACATTAAATAAATGGGGTTCCATCCTCATTGGCCATATATCACAGGCTTTGATTGTTCACAATAATTACTATCTCGTTTACACTGTAATTGTTGAAGAATTTGAGATTTTGCCAGATGTTTATTTTATTCAAATGTATGGTCATTGTGGGCGGTGTTTGAAAAACATGGCTTACCAGCCAGGCAGTGCAGCCAACTGCCTTGGTGCCCAAAAAGCTCAATGCTTACTGGGCGTCAACAGTTTTTTGCTAATTTGATGGAAAAAATGTTGAGGAAGACTGATCACCAAGTTGGGTCCTGCTGCCCTGTGTCCAAAATGGTGTTTAAATGTTGTGCATATATGTAGCATATTGTAATTCAATGAGGTATATCATTTTTGTTTTACTTGCTTTTGATCTATCTCAAGAAGCAAACATACAAACCTTAATAGCACAAGATTAGTCCATAACAGATTAACAAAAAAAAGAAAAAGAAAGAGATTAGGCACATCACTTATATAATAGTAGATCCACTATGGTAAAAAATAAACTATGTTAAAACCCCAATATTAAATCCAAGATACTTCAACTGTTTCTTACACTATTGCAAGGAAACATTAGTACTTCTATCTAATCAGTTTTTCCGGAGTCACAGCCTCAGGGAGTAGAACATACCGGTAGGTCATCTCTAACCTACTTCACCATGGTGTCTTTATTAAAGTGCAGTTTGACAGGGAAAAGAAGACAGACAGCATCCCATTTAAAATATTTTATTGATAAACATACACTTGCTATAAAAGAACTGAGCGCTCTCTTCCTCTGAGTGATGAAGACGCTGTCAGCTGTTCAGAGACACACAGAGGAGAGAGGCGTTCAGCTCAGACTCTGGGGAGGCAACACTTGTGATAGAGGCAGATGAGGAGAGATTATAGGGCTTTGTGAAACTGTCATTATACGGGAGAATTATTAACAGGGAAGCAGCAAATCACTTTGTGTCATTGGTTTAGCTCATGGGAGGATATGGAAGAGAACAGCAGGTGATTGGGAGATCCTTTTAAAATGTTTTTTGCTGGTATGGAACTGTGCTCCAAGTCAAAACAGACATCACATTCAAATCTATACATGCATTATTTCATACAAACACACACACACACAGACAAACACACAATGTGCTGAGACCAAGTGGTCGGTGTGAGTGTGAATCACTCCGGCACATACCCAAACCCTCGCATTCATTACATAAGGCACTGATTCAGATGCAGTCAGTCTATGAGAATAAACAATGGCTAAAACATCCTAAAGGGAAAATATTTAAAAATCCAAAGAACAACAATTATATAATTATTAACATGCATTCTCATTCCTGTAAAATTAATTATAAAGAGAAAAAAAGGTTGTGTAAGTTTGCCAGATTCCCAAAGCAATTACAAAATATCATGATGATGTACAACATACAAGAGGAAAGTCAAAGTTCAGCTGTTGAGATGATAACAACGTCAAACTCACACTACTCCATCTGAGCAATACTCACAATAACTTATATAATGTTCTTCTTTCATGCAAAACTGTAAACACAAAACACAAAAAAGAATGAGAAAGTATTATGATGAGTAAGGCATTATAATGGTCAAGCTACTTCAGGTAATCCAGTCACTTGATCAGTGCAGAAGCAGAGTTGATGAATCAGGAATTTGAGACTGTTTCAGCTTCTAGCATCACATGTGAGCTTGTGACAAAACAGATCCTTATGTTAGCGTCTATAAAATGCAGTTTTTGCCTCATTTCTGGTCGAGCACTTGGAGATTTAGAGCAATGAAAATTATACACAAATGCAAGACTGAAAGAGTTATTTTTTACCATCTATTATTTGCTCAATAAATGAATTAGCATGTCTTCTTTTATCCATATAAACGTGCACTGATAACTCACTCACTCAGTTCGCTTTGCCGTTTTCATAATTCGATGAGGTCATGGCTGGTGGCTTGAAATGTAAAATCACTCCCTATCTTATTCTTACGGAAGCATTGTGATTGGAGATGAAATGAAATCTAAGGAAATAACTTATTCTTTCATATAATTTGTTTTCAAAATATAGTTTATGTGCTTTATGTATTTCTGTGCTGCAAATCTCCCCTTGCTGGCTTTAGGAATGATGGACAAATGTAATGCCATATCTTAACTGTGCTATATATGGATGTGCTTCATGTCAAAATACACTGATTTCTTGATTACATCCATGCTACACATATTAAGTAAAGTGTATGCACGTGTTCAGTTATTAATCACACACACTGTGTACTGTATGTGTGTGTGAGGTTTTGTAACCCAGTCCATATGTCAGTCCAGTGTTTGCTCTCAGTGACATCCATAAAGCTGTTTGTGCATTTCAGGACTATTCCAGAAAGTCCAAAATCACTGACAGGGATAGTGAGGGGTTCCAGGTCACATCCAGGTCATCATAGTGTGGTGGGCTGACCTCTGCCTGCATAGAAACATCATGGAAAAGTGTTTAAAGTCTGCTCTCATACTTTTATAAATACTTTTTTTTTTAATAACAATTTGTGATCTTATTCCCTTTTGGAGCCACTTTGTAAAACATTGCCAAATTGATACCATCTGACCTCATTTTAAATAGTTAGTTTAAATTATTATTATTTTTATAATTAAAAGACTTGACCATTACTTTTAGAATAGAGAATAAGTGTTAGAGGGCTCACAAATATAAACCTTAAGAGAAGAGACCTACTGTAAGTTAAAGGTGGGGTATGTAATTTTGAAACCAGCTCGAGATTGCTAGAATTTGAAAATACACAGCCGGAAAAAATCTGCCACTTCCTTACAGAGCGCCTCCTCCAACACACACGAACGCACACATGACCAATGAGGGCACGAGATAAGTTTGTGCACAGATGGAAGGCTGACAGGCAGGTAGGCCATCCAGTTATTTTAGCCGGGCCGGCTAAAATGATTGGTTGTGCTTTTTACAGTATTACGGCTTCCACAGATGACATTTTTTTATGGATTTTTTGTCAAAGCACTTAAAATATTCATTGCTATCGGGATGTTAAGAGCATTCCATGGAATATAACAAAAAGTGTATCTCGAGCCGGTTTCTCAAACTTACCTACCCCACCTTTAAGTCAGAAATCAGAAAAAAGATGCGTGTTTTCATATGACTTTAGAAAACAGATGGTAGGAGTGTGACCAAAATCAGGATCAACTATGTTCTGAACTAGGTTACGTAAATAGTTGCTTAAAATTATGTTTCTCAGGGCTAATTAAAGACGATATAAGAATGTGTGCCAGTCTATGTGTGTCTTTTTGTTTTTGGGCATGTGTTCTCACCTCGAGATGCGATATAGCACTCATGACAGCTCAGCAGTCCGTTACGAATACGGACATCAGTTCCTACAGTGGCGTCACCCAGCTGGCCTTCACACACTGCACACTGAGGGAGAGAAATACACAAAAACAGTTAACTTTTAAAATTCTACAGAAAAGAGAAAGATGTAATCCAGAAATGTGTTTGCACTGCGAAACATTTCTGACTTTTAAAAATGGTAGAATAACTCAGTACCTTAAAACACTGTACGTGGAAAAACAGCCCGAGTGTATCGATGATCATGGCGGCTCCTTTGCCCAGCGGTTGAGAACAACCAGAACAGAGTCTCCTCCCACTCACACACCTACACACACAGACAGCAGCAGGAAAACAGACATTAAGGGATACCATTAAACACTGCATCTTCATTTCTTTCAGACATCTTGTTGTGTTTAAGTGTTCATGCATCTTTACCTGGTGGGTGAGGGGGGCTGAGGTGATGTGGGGGGAGGCTTGCTTGTTACAGCATCATGTGATTCAGACCTGTGGTGAAAACAAACAGAAACATAAATAAATACACATTTAAAACATCTGTAATATGTTAAAAACGCATTTCAGGGGTAATATTTATACATAATATCATTTAAATTATTCAGACCTTTTTAACTAACAAAAGATTTGGGCACATCTTTACAGTAAATTCTTCCAAGATTCAATGTGATATAAAACGTATTAATCCATTTGTTAAATGTGAAATAAGAAACACACAGAAAGGAAACGACAACTTGAAATATATTTAGGATAATCATGCAGCAATCTGGGATGATTACACAAAAGTGCACAAAGGCATCCTATCGTACCTTTTAACAAACTGTGACTGGTTTAGCTGAGGTTTGCGGTCCAGAGAGGCCGTCTTCCACAGTTCCTGTTTCTTTGAAGGCTCGCCATCACATGGAGAATCTACACAAATAAATCATAAAAATAAACTTCATCAAAGAAAGTCTGAGGAACACATGGTTGAAGTTGTTGTGCAGGCACACACATGTGGACACCTCCTGCATTTTCCTCACCCTGGAAAAAATGCAGCTTGGATTCATGCTGGTCGTCGGTCGCTTCCCTTCTTTGGCCGTTTTGCTGTGGAGGAACGTTTCCTCCTTCTGCCGCGTTGTTTTCTGTCGCTGATGAAGTCGTCCCTGTCTGGACCGGCTGCTGGTTTAACAAGCCGGTGGGATTTAAAGGTGTCACCGTCTCCTCTAGGATCTTTCTCTCCTGAAAGATGTACACAAATAAATATAGACACATCATGTAAGGCGATTGTAGCTTTTCATTGTTTTATTATATTTAATTGTTACACTTTTATTTTCTTGCTGTTTTGTGTATAGTCAATTGATCATCATTTAGTTTCATCATTCATTTGATCTTAGAGGACCTTAGTTTTCGTTCAAGAGAGTATGTAATAGCCGTTGTTCTTTGTGCTGTATGATCGTTGTAACCTAATAAAATAAACTCACAAACTAAATGATTGCCTGGACAATGGACTTTATCCTGCATGAAATTAGCTAGCTTGTGCCGCAGTAGGGTTTGAGTTACTTGTTGGTTTGTTTTTAGTGTTAGGACACTTTTTTAGTGTTAGGACACTTTTTTTATTTTCCGCACCATGGTTACAACAGAACCAGCTGCACTTTCTTTCTCTCTGTTCTCTCAAAGAGTTAACACACATCGCTGCACTGCCCACGTACCTCCGCCTCCTCTCACTCCCTCACAGTGCTCTCTTCTCGTCACTGTTCTAATCCGCTCCAGTTTAATATAACGTTATATAACATTTTCACTTTCACTTCAATGCCTTTTGATCAGTTACAATGTCGGAGGCTTTGTAATGCCCTAAATGTTTTTACCATAGTATTGAAGATGGTATCAAGTACCGATACTTTTCAAGGGTTCTGAGTGAGAAATACTAGTATCATAACAACACTAGGAAGGACACACAAAAGCAGTCTGTGATTTTACCTCTTCGTTGTGTTTTCTCTCCTCCTCCTGCACCTCCAGCTGAGCTTTCTCCCACTCCTGCTTCAGCTTCTTCTGTTCTTTCTGGTATTGCTCCTGCAGAAGAAAATTGTGCGTGTTAAATACTGTATGTACAGAAAAATAACAACAAATAACATAGAAGTAAACATATAAAGACAGACACACACACACACACACACACACACACAGACACAGACACAGACACACACACACACACACACACACACACACACACACACACACACACACACACACACACACACACACACACACACACACACACACACACACACACACACACACACACACACACACACACACACACACACACACAGTGCTTTTGCTGTAAATTCATGCCTCTTAATTTGTCTATTTTGTGCATCCACTTCTCTCTCCTACATCCTCGAAGAAGTAAGGAAAGGAAGCAAGGAAAGGAATCGAGGATGTTGAAAGTCAGATATAATTAGAGCTATCAGTGCCATGCACATACACACCATTCTACCAGTGTACCTGAAGGAGGCGCTCCTGCTCCTGTTGCCAACTTTCCAGGCGTTTACGTTCCTCATTGGGGTCCCAGACCCAGTGATTAACACGTTTAGCCAAGTTCAACATGGGGGTCTCAATCTACCCAGACCACCCCGACAATCACGCACACACACATGTATAGGGACCAAAAGGACAGAAAGAGAGGAAAGGTGAGAGGACAAGTCTGACAACAGCGACTACTGGAGACGAAGGGTCAGGACAGGGTCAAATTTAAGAAAATAAAAACAGCTGGAGATGCCGAGAGATACTCACAGTCACACTGCTCTCCTCAAGCCCCTCTGTGGAGGAGAACGACACACACAGCAACACTAAGATCAGAATCAGCTCTATAGGCCGAGTATTACACGTAACAAGAGGGTAATTATTTAAAAAACTAATATTATATATATAGATATAAGAGATACATAATGATAGTCAAACTAAACAAGCATTTATACACTTCAGCTTGCTTTACACGAAAAATGCATTTGACTGTTATGGATAAATGTTCATAGACAAAAACACTACTTATTTAGATAATATAGTCTTTTAAAAATATATACGGTATAAACAGTATATATATATATAGAAAGCCAGTCAAGTCAAGTGTTTCTGTAAATTGTAAATAAATACAAATAGTGCAAATCAATACGCTTATAGAAATAATACAGATCTCTATTATAAAACTGTTACCTGTGACAGTGGGAGAATAATCCTGCATGCTGTAGGATGATGTAGCCGACTGAGACTTGTTCTCCTCCACTGGACTGGATAACCAAGAAGTACCGTTGACCTGAAAGTAAAATGTTCAACCAGTTAATAAAACACAAGGTGGATCTAAAAGGATTTCTTTCTCTTATTTGTATCCATCAAAAATGAGTGGACAGCTCTGGTATTTGTATTTAGTACAAATCAAATGTAATGAGTATACTGAAGTCTTTCCTTTGTTGTGTGTTTTTAAGGCAGTCGCTGGCTTCAGTTCATGTAAATACAATATTAAAATCAATGTGAGCAGAACTTGTTTTACATAGAACAATCATCACAGAGACAGCGGAGGAGTTTTTCAGTTCAGGCTCATGTTCCCCAACAAGGACTAAACTGCAAACAAACATTATTTGGTGTTTAAAACGAAGGAAGTTGCAACTGGGCGAGTAGTGTTTAGTCTTTTTTATGATTTATGTAAAAACTGTATGGTTCGGGGACTAAGATTTATTTCCATGAGCATATTACAGTATTCTTCTTCTGTATCCATGCTCACTACGTGGTAATAAAGTCTGAATGATGTTTCTTTTGGACTCCTCTGTGTGGTTGATTTCAAGTCAGTTGCTAGGCTGCAACCTTTTAATGCAACAAGTAACTTAAAGGTAGGGTAGGTAAGAATGGAGAAACCAGCTCGAGTGCGCTAGAATTTGAAAATACACAACCGAAAAAAATCTGCCCCTTCCTTCAGACTTCCTTACAGAGCCCCTCCTCCAACACACATGACCAATGAGGGCACGAGATAAGTTTGTGCACAGATGGAAGGCTGACAGGCCATCGGCTAAAATGATTGGTCGTGCTTTTTACAGCGCTACGGCTTCCACAGATGACATTTGTGTATGTATTTATTGTCAAAGCATTTCATATATTCATTGCTATCGGGATGTTAAGAGCATTCCATGGAATATAACAAAAGTTTCTGAAGTGAATTACCTACCCCACCTTTAATTCATAATTAAATGTTCTAACTACACCTGTGTGCTTTCATTTTGTCCCCTGGCTTTCATTTTTCACGGCTGTCTCCTGTGTCTCAGGTGTCGAGGCTTTCCATAAACGCCTGAATGCACCAGAATGGAAAATTAATGAAAACAATTCACACCTTTTCCGTTGAGCCAGGACACATACATGGGAAAACAACATAACATAACTATCTCCGCCAGGGAGTGTGTATCTGTCTGTGTGCAGCTTATCTTGCATACTACTGGACCCATCAGACTTAAAGGTTTTGTTTATATTTATGACTTAATGCCCAAAGGCATCTTGTGGTCGGAATTATTCAAAACATAAAAATATATATATTTTATTGACTGCTTTATAACTTCGCCTGCTTACTTCTTACTTTATTAATTGTGTATTAAATTGACAAACATGCTACCTGTGATATTGCCTGTCCATTGCTGTGGATATCTGGGTGATGTGGCTCCGTATGTGTGAGCTCCGTCACAATAGTGGTGGTGGTGGTACAGTTTCTGCCTCCAATCAGGGAGCTGATGGCAGAGCCTAAACACGATGTTGGCTTTTCTCTCTGCCGAGAAGGCGTGTGCTCCACCTTCTCGTGATTAGTGGAAATCTTCTCTGAGGGAGCGTCTTTCTCCGTCTGTTTGGAGGGAACTTCTTCCTCCTTCTGCTCCGAGGGAACATCTTTGACCTTTGATGGCGAGTGCAGAGCAGAGGTAGGTGGAGTGGAACAAGGTACATCTTCAGTCACCTCTCCATTTACTCGCACCAACCCGTCCATCTGAGGGGGAAACACACAGAGGTCAGGATACAGGAATCACATCATTTTCAGTAACACATTTATGGATGTTGTTTCGAGAAAAAAAAAAATCATGTTTTTAATATATGTCTAATACATTCTCCCATCAGTTATATTGTTATGAACTACTTCTTTATGTTCAAAGTTTAGGGTTCAGTTAATCTAGCCACAAAATTATAGAAGAAAAACAATGCAAAACTAAATAGATGACAGAATATGTGAAAGTGTCACAGAATATGTGAAATGTAAGAAGTTAAAATGTTAGCACTTCCCTAAATACAACAGACACCTCCTTTCATTAGTGCATGCAGTCATGCATTGCGCTGGAACAGTGAAGTATCAGATTATGCCGAGTGCTGCGACTGATAGGAAGCTCTCACCTTGACGGGTTTGTGTCCGGACTGTGTGCTCCTGGGCTGGCAGTAGGGTTTGGCTGCCAGCAGGGGGACGGGTCGGGGGGAGACAGGTTGGGGGGAGGGGAGTGTGTATGTGGGCTGTGTGGTGTGAGGCTGCACCTGAACAATCTGAGGCCGAGCGTGATTGGTATGAGGCTTTGTTTCTTCTGCAGCTGGTGGTTTTTGCGGAGTGGTTGGAGACTCTGTCGGTTTGGCTCGAGGCTCATTTAGTTTAAGGGACTGAGGGGGGACATTTTCTGAGATTGTGACGGGGCTGAGGGGGCTGCCAGGTGACCCGGAGCTGGAGGAGACCGAAACTGACGTCTCTCGTTGAGTTATTTTTGTTTCCATGTCTTCAGGCTCTGTGTGCCTCTGCTCTTTTATCACAGGTTGTTCTGGTTTGTGCGGCGGTTCTGATGTTTCATCAATAGTGGGAGTCAATGTGTTCTCCTTGTCCGCCTGATTATGTTCCTGTTTAGAATTTGAGGTGGATCTGGGCAGTTTTAAGCTGTCCAGTGTTGCGTCACTGATGGTGAAGCGAAGAGCGTAGCGCTGTAAAACCATGGCAGCCTCTTCTGGAGTCCCTGCATTCCTGTAGGCTTCACACAACTCGAGCTCTCTGCGCTCCCTAGACAAGAGAAGTAGAGAGACACAAAGCATTTAGTGTCTAGGCAGTGTTTCTGATATGGTTTTGCTATTGTTAGCGTGTTGACAGAGATCTAGGTTTACATTTGTTTATCTCATGTTAAGGGCTACAGTCAACACTACAAAGAGTTTCAATATCATCCTTACTTCTCCTCTACGATCTCTTTGTAGGTTTTAATGCTTTTCCTCTTGTTACTGTCAATTCCCTCCTCCTTCATCCTTTTCTCCATCCTCTTCCTCTCTTCTTCCTTCTTGATCAGATCCTGTGACGCACAGCGACGCCGATTCTTCCAGCGAGCCAAGTCCTGTCATGAGATCATAGTGTGAAGATTCAGGTTATTCATGTCCAAATAACATTGATATTATTTAAATAAGATGCACATCCTATTTTCTTTTTCAATGGACCTCACTAACTCAGTGTCTTACGTTTCTCCAGGGGTCGTCGTCCTCCTGAGAGTTGTTGTACTGCTCGTGCATGCGCTCGTTTCGTGATTGGCTCAGCGGCGGTAAGTGTCCCACCTCTTCCTCGTTAAGTATGTCACTCATGCTCACGGTCCTAGACCAAAAAATATTGAATAATCTTTTATAAATTACTGAATACACTTTAGCATATTAAGTTGGTCAAATGTGGCTCTGCAAAACAGAAAATATTAAATTAATTCATTCATTGTTAGTGTCGATCACTTACGATTACACAATAATGTAATAAATATAAATACACATTCTAAGATCGAAGTGGAACCATGAGGAAAAATACATGCCCTCTTTTTCAAAAATGGATAGATGATGTAGACAAAGATAGTCTACAACAGGGCTATTCAATTAGTTTGGAATGGGGGCCGGTTGATGAAAATGATCCAAAGCAAGGGGCCGGGAAAAAGATGGCTTGAAATATGAGCAATCATATTTAAGAGCTTCAGATACAGTAAATACTACAACAGCATAGTGGAGTGCATATATTGTGTTTAATTCAATCAAACAACATAGCCCCAAGGCCTTTATAGATCTAAATGGCAAGTTCAGAACTCAGTAGGCCTACATGTTTCATTTGATTTCATTTAGGTGAAATGATCTAATCATTCACGCAGAGATGCAATCAATGACAGGAGTTGTCACTACAGTATAGTAGGTGGGTTCGAAACCCGAGCCCGTCAAAGTTTTCAGGCATTGTCTACCCCTCTATCTCTCAATGTAACACCCTCTCTGGAATAAAGGCACTATGGCACAAAAAAAAAAAAGAAATCTTAAAAAAAAAAAACATTGACTTTTTAACATTATACTCAAAGGGCCAGTAAATATCACCCCGGGGCCGGATTTGGCCCGCGGGCCGCCAATTGAATAGCCCTGGTCTACAAGATATGAACATGAAGCATAAAGTTAAAACAACCAGTAAAAGTCCACCAAACACAAATATTGCATTATAATTCTCATTTAATTTGTTCTTGATTTATATTAGTTATGTATGCTGTTTCCATAAACAAATCAATTCAACAAGCAACTGAGCAATCATATCTTACTTCTTTTGACAGGACAAACCCATTTCCTCAACCTTATAATTGGGTAATATACTTCCAAACTATTAATTTTTTTTTTTTAAACAGAAACTGTAAAAGAGAATTACATGAAAAGTAAAAAAATGACAATAAAAAGCTGGATGTTAGTAATGATGATACACAAAGATGAGCATAATGTGAGCGTGTTTGGATGTTCCTTTGTGATGAAACGTGCACAGCGTGTCAATATTGTTTTCATGCAGAATCTCGTCACGCAGAAAGACTTACTCAGTGTCCTCAGACATAAAAGCAACTCGCCGGCTCACCCTAAAACAATAACAGAGTAAAGTGAATGAGAGGAAGGAGCAGGTGAGGGAATGGGCAGCAGCATCAACGCTAACGTCAATTCCAACCGGATAAATGGTAGAGGGAAATCTGAGAAGGGGGAGGCATGACGACACAAAAAGAGCATCTCACATGATGGGAGGCAGATCATCGTCGTCCAGCCAGAATGGTTTCTTTCTTTCGTTCATTTCTGTCTTTCTCTCCTCCACTCTCTCCTCTACACTTGACTTATCCAGTTTACAAGTTAGGGAAGTGGCAGAACTGGACGACGGAGTAGAGAGGGGCTTTGTAACATCTGTCACAGAGGTTTTAGGGGTCGTCATGTGTCCCTCTTGCCTTCCATCCGCCCCCTGCCTCTCCCTCAGCCCGGCACACTTAAGGAGGGTCGAGGCTCTGGAGAGCGAAGCCTGAGGTTCTGCTGCCACGGTAACGATGCTGCTTAAAATCCAGTCACAAGGCCAAGATTACCAGCAAATACATACAACGCATAAATCAAAACTGAATCACGGACAACAGAGGCGATGTTTGTGTGCTCAAACTTTTGTTCCATGTTGCAGGATAAAAGAGAAGAACAAGGCCTAAAGAGTCACCTAATAAATTAAATTAAATAAATTGCTCTTATTGTCATTTCACAGTACAGGTACTATGTAACAAAATTGTTCCTCTGCATTTGACCCATCCTAGTGTTAGGAGCAGTGTGCTGCCGTGGACGGCGCCTGGGGAGCAGTGTAGGGAACGGTGCCTTGCTCAGGGACACCTCGGTAGCACTTGGTCTTGCCGGGACTCGAACTGGTGACCTTCCAGTTGCCAAGCCAAGTCCCTATCGACTTCGCCACCACCGCCCAAATTACAAGAAATGTTTGTTTGCAATTACATCTTATGGTATTTACTCATGCTAGATGTGTGTTCATTCTCAAATGTTCATATATCTGCCTTCAACACTACACAATTAAGGGTATTATCGCAGGGATACTGTGCAGCGAGGCTGTCATTAATGAATATAAACCACAAACATTGTGATGACCAATCAGAGTTGAGTATTCAAATAAGCCGTGTAATAACATGTAGTATGTGTAAATGCTTATGTCATATTCTTATTCATACTATTCCTATATTTTAAAATCATTGGTCCCATTTTTCGCTTTTACACTGTTGTTATATATTATAGTAAACACATTTTAAAATATTTCTAGTTCTGCGCATTTATGATGTAAGCTATATATTGTCAAATAATGCACATATTTTTTGCATAAGTGTTTTTTATTTATATTTTTTTTATAAAGTATCTTTGTTTATAACTTGATTAGGAGAATCTGTAGGGTAAAACAATTTCCCCCCCCAAAGGATCAATGAAGTTATTTTGTTCTTATTATATGGGTGAACCAACCAGAGAGTAGCAGCTGTTATTTGCCCCATTGTGATTCAGCTGTGACTTATACTTTAAATACAGAGACAACAGCCAACCGCTTCATATTCAAGTCGAACAAAACAACCAACGTCATGCCAAACAAAGTCAATGTTAAACCTCAACAGCAAAAAGAAAAAGGCCATATTAGTCCAAACCAAGCACAAACCTCACCAAGCCATATGAGAAAGAGAACTCCAAGAATCCGACCACAACAGCAAATCAAATCCATCATATATCCTTCATATACAAATAAAACAAATTAAGTCAAGAGTCCAGCTGCAGGCACTCAAACATGCAGGCTTGGAACCAAAACAACAACACTGGATCAGCTGTAAATCCCCCACAGAGTTGTATTAGTGTTCATACTGCAGGTCATTTAACTTGCAAACATACTCAAACCTTCTCTTGCTGTGAAATATGCTTTGTTAGTTGCCGTAGTTGGCAGTCACCTTCAGTCTTCATCATTCAAACACATTAAATACCTTTCACTGGCCATCTTCTCAGTGAGTTTAGGTCTGCTGTGCAGAGGCTTCATTGCAGACACAGGGGCAACTTTATATTTCACTGATCCAGGTACCGGCAGGAACTGGTTTTTGGTCTGATTTGTTTTGACTGCACTGGGTTTTACGAATGATCCGGTCCTTCGAGCCATCATATCGTCCTTCTCCAGGTCAGGCAAAGGCTCGTTTTCATCATACTCATCCTCTTCATCATCATATTCGCTGTGAGACGTTGCTCGGATTACAGTCCTGTCAGGTGTTTCCATGGGAACTCTGGGTTGCTGTTGCTCCACTCTATGAGAGAAACTCCTTGAATTGAATAAACATCAAGCTCTCTTTCTGGATGTAAACCACACCAAGCGTGTTAGTGCTCCTCCTCACACTGTTAGACACACAAATCTCAGCCCACCTGGCGTTTACTTTCTCTCTCCTGTCTGCCTGCACCTCCCTTCTGTTCCACGGAGCCGCGTCAGTGGTGACCTCGCCTTGAGTGCAGCGCTTGGTACTGGGCAGAGGCAGGAAACGGTTGAACGTCGCTGTAGAGGTGCTTTGTTTATGGAAAACTCCTGTCCTCCTTGCCATCATGTCGTCTTTCTGAAGATCTGGGATCCTCTCTTCTTCCTCCTCATCCTCTTCATCCTCCTCTGCTCTTTTCTCATACTGAGCCAGACGTGCATCCATCTCGGCAGGAGTAGGAGGGGTCTCAGGGGTGCAGGGTGGGAGGTCAGTAAAGGGAGGGGTGGTTTGATTGAGGTCAGCTCCATCCACCTGGCTGTGAGAGCATCATATAAAGCTCAAACAGCAACAACAATAATACCCAAACCTGCTACTATGTTAGTGGTGACAAAAAGTAAAGAAAAGAGAAGGTAAAGAAGAGAAGAATTACAACTGAAAACCATTCCAAAGAGTGTTTTAGGAGCCGATAGATAAAGGTAAGAAAGACCATGCAAAAGAGATGCAAAACTAAAAGAAAAAGCCCTTTGACCAGTAAAAAAACATTATAGAAGTGCACAAATTGTGCATTTGCTATAATTGTTGTCTGAAGCCCGACCATCACTTTTAAGCTGATATCAATATTGATATTTGAGAAATTAAGAAACCTGATATAATGGCCAATACATAAACCTACATTTTTGACAAAAAAAAGGGGGTTTGTTATCTATGTAGTGAAGACACTTTTTAAATACTTCCTAAATCATGTCTTTGATACTTCAAATACAAGTTATTTATTATATTACTAGTTGTCACAGCAGCATGTACATGCATGTGTGCGCGTACCTTTGTTACCTACTATTAAAACTACAAGCAAATCAGGACAATGCAGAGAGAGGTGCAGCCACACTACCTACTAATTTAAAAAAGCCTGAAATGTGAAAGATTATATAAATCAACATCACAAGCAATTATATTAAATCATTCAATAGATAATATAAAAAGATAGGGACCTATTTTTTTGTCAGTGCAGTCCACACTAATGCAAGAGACTTTGGATTCAAGACACTGTAGCCTAAGTCGTATTTGGCCTCGTCCGTACCTGCGTTCCCGCTCTGAAAGCTGGGAGCCCAGGCCAATAGTAGGCATGGCTACAGTTGCCTTGGAAAGGAGTCGTCTTAGCAACTCCGTCTCTTCCCCTTCACTTGATGCGATTGTGTCTATTGGCTGCTCGATCTCTGTCACGCCCCCAAAGGTCACAACTTTGCAGTGACCCCGTCTAGCCTTTGCTGATCCGCTGAAAGGACTTCCATAATTTTTCTCCAGACAAGCCTGACACACAGCTGGGGCCGGGCTGGCCTCACTGTACAATACACACATGAAGGCATACGAACGAACGAACACACACACACACACACACACAAACAACCAGGAGAAGAGCAGGGGGGAAATAAAGAGAGCGGAAAATAAATCATGAGCAACCAGAAAGAGAGGATCAGACTGTGGAGACAAAGGAAGCATGAGTTGGAAATGATGAATCAGACAGGAAGTGTGGATGGACAGAAGGGGACAGAGCATGGGGTTGTGTACTTAATGACTTCCACACATACGTACCTTCACAACACACACACCAAGCATTTGTATCTACACTAGGTGAAGTCCCTTTTCCTAGTAACTGCAGCTCTACTGGGAACACAAAAAACTCTTTATCCTATCTAATGACATCAGCGCTGAGAGGGGAAAACAAAGCCCAAGCAGTGCTCTGAGCCAACAGTCGCCTCTCTTTTGGTCACACACCAATTCCCAACTCTGTTTCAATGCGTGCCAAAGAAGACTGAAGAGGTCTGAAGTGCACAATGGTGAGGAGAATGAACAAGCAGATGAGAACATGGGGAGCAACTGAGACCAGAAGAGAAAGGAAACTAAGAATTGGTGGAGATTATGGTGCTTACAAAAGTGTACAAGATAATAAAGACTACAACTGGTGAAATTGGGTGTAAATGGGTGTAATATGGGTCTAATAACAGTGTAATATAGGTGAAATACGGGTGTTATAACGTTGTTAAAATATGTATATGTGATTGCCCATTTAAGGGTTAAATATGTCCAAGAAAATAACTAATGAACTTCTATTTACATTATGGAGTATTAACCTGTTAATGTGTTTTTTGATAACTGAATTAATCATAACAGCTAAAAAAGACATCAAATGGACAGAAGCCTGTGACATAAGATTGTCAACAACATAATTACTCTGTAGCTATGTCAGTTTGACAATAAAGAACCTTGAACCCTTGATTTCGATTCACAAAAAGTAATAAACAAGAAGATATCCTACATATAATAAAAAAATAAATAAAAAAATGATTGTTGGGAATTTTGAATAATAAAGGAAGTATTGAAGTAATAGATTCACATTTATGAAACCCCTTACTTTGTGTAGATAACATAGATGTTGCTGTTTATTTAGGAATCAAGTTAATCGGCTTTCCAAATAAAGCACCAAACGTAGTAAAGCCATTGTTTGTCAGGGATTTAAGCAATAACCCTTTAAATAACTGGATTGCAACTTCATCTGAAAGGCTCTGTAGTTCAATGTTACTCTCCTACCTACAGTCCATCTGTTTAAGACTGAAACTGAACCTAGAAACACACACACACACACACACACACACACACACACACACACACACACACACACACACACACACACACACACACACACACACACACACACACACACACACACACACACACACACACACACACACACACACACACACACACACACACACACACACACACACACACACACACACACACACACACACACACACCCACACACCACACTTTGTACTGCATGTGTGCTGAAACAGAGAGAGTGTGTTGGGCACCTGGGTTCAGTCATCTTGAGTCTCTCCCACCTCTGCATGTCTTTCTCGCTCATTGGGGCAGAAACAAAGCTCATTGGTCCGTCCCTGTGAGGGAGGGGCTTATTCAGAGCCCGCCTACGAGCCAGGTCATCCTTCTGCTTATTAGGCGTTGCTATGACCTTCCCCTCTTCTCCCACTTCCTCCCCGTCCTCCTCTTCCTCGTGGCGAGGGGCGGAGTTTAGGAAAGGATTGTCTCTGCGTGTAATGATGTCAGGGACTTTTTCCTTGTCACTGTCCAATCACAGAGCCAATCGCAACACACAGCAAACAAAGTTGAGCACACACACGTCAAACCACAGCACGCAAAGAAGGAAAAAGTAGGAAAATGTGTGAGAGTTGGAGAGCAAATGGAAGAAAAATGGCAGCACACACAAACAAACTTCAGCTAACCTGATCTCCTTCTCCTGCAGTGTTTGCTGCGAGGCTCGTCTAATGCCTTCCCAGCGCTCCCTGTCTTTGCTGCTACATGCAGGTGTTGGGACAAACTGGTGCACCTTGGGAGCAACCGTGCCGCGATGAGCTCGTCTGGATGCTAGATCGTCTTTACGAACATCCGGGACTTTCCGCACCTCGGCCTCCTCTTCCACATCAGAGGAAGAGTCCCAGGCAGATTTCTGAGTGCTCAAAAATTCATTTTCGCAGCGAAGGATGATGCTCGGGGACGGAGACCTCACTTCCTGTTCCTCCATTGTTGGAGGGCTGGTGTGAAAAGGTCATGTAGGTTATTAAAATCCTTTGTTGCATGCTGAGAGCAGAGGTAGCGTCGTGCAAAGTTCCTATTTGACATGCGTCCACAATTAGTGTGATATTGCAAGGTCCCATTGATTAGTCATAGTTCACAGGCAAATGTATCACCTGTCAAACCAACCGAGTAGCAATCCATGCCCATCGAAATATATTTTACAATATTAAAGGAAACATTTGCCACCTTATGTCCAATCACTGTTGATGGTAAATGTGATTAACTGAAGCAATACAATCCTCAGTGTATGATATATTCATAAGAAACCTGAGATAGACACCTAAGCTAAAGTAGTTTCTAGATGTTCATTGCATCCAACTACGTCCTTGACGCATCAAATGACAGCGTTATAATTGAATGCATTTACCATCAACACTGATGTAAACACTAAACACTATGTAAAAGGTGGCTCAATTTCCCCTTAATAACAGTCAAGACTTGAATCAAGCTCTCACATATAAAACACAGAAACAGTATCGAGCAGTTAGTCAGATCTCTATCCCAAAACACATTATAAATAAGCCAAATTGCTCAAACCAGATATCTGCACAAACCCAAACCTCCAGTGTGAATAGAGCACCAGAAAAACACACAATTAAAATGACCATCATAACGATCCGTTAGTGAACACGACCAAAACTGTCAAAGCACAGCAGCTCTCATGCCGCTCCTCTCTGACCTGCTGTAGCGAACGGCAGCAGGCAGAACTTTAATCCCTGCCTTCTGCAACCTCTGCAGCTTCTTCTGCTCCAACACTTCCAGCGTCACTTTTTCCTCTTCCTGTTTTTCCTCATTTTTCTCGGGTGCCCAAGTGACAGTCTTGGGAGTTCTGTGTTGCAGTCCAGTTCTTGTGGACTGCTCTTGAGAGGCTTGACTGGGGAACGGTGTGTAACGGCAGGGACAGATTAGGGATGATGAAGTGTGTGTGTGTGTATGTTTTATGTCAGGGGTGTCAAACTCAAGGCCCGGGGGCCAAAGCCGGCCCGCGACTTCATTTCATGTGGCCCCACAAGAGCTTGCAAAGAATATAATATGTTTATTATACGGTTACATGCCGCTTTACAGAAACACATTGCCCATAAACTTGTCCCACAATGCATCTCAAATTAGACTTTTTTCCCCCCCCCCAAAATTTCACTTATTTTTTTTTGTTTTTCCAGAATTTGGCTTTCCTTTTTAAATCATTTTGTGACATGCGCACTGAAGAGACTTGCAATTGTTTGCCCTAGACTTCTGCTTTCAGACGTAGTTAATTATGAAGTTATTACCCTATCCGATAATAAACCAATGCAGAGGCAATAATGTTATATAATACATTATTTTATATATATATAAAACTGGCCCTTTGAGTGCAACCATGATGCTAATGTGGCCCGAGTTGAAATTGAGTTTGACACCCCTGTCTTATGTGATTCACCTTTTTCTTCAGCTCCTTTTATGTATTTTTCCATTGCAGCACTTAATATGCATTATTTGTATCTGAATTATTTAGTGCACTAATTTGGTGGTCATTACCTCCGCTGATCTCCTTCCTCTGTATGTGTTTTTTCGGCGTGGAGCGGGGATGTAGCAGCTGGTGTTGGTTCGGTTGGGAAGAAACTGGTTAAAGGGAACGAAGCTTCTTGATTCACTGCTGGCCGTCCGTCTGGCCAACATGTCATCCTTCCTCACATCTGGCCTCCTGCTGGGGGCATCAGCATCCGAGTCGCTGCCTCGTCCTGGGCAACAAAGAGCGATGGAGCATGAAAGATTACAAAAAAAGAGTGAATAAGGTTAGAAAATATGTCAGGAAATACTTTTAATGAGTTCTTACATCATCACCACTGCAGAAGACGTACCAGCCACATTCATAATATCTTTTGTGCTAATAGCGATTTTTCCAGTGAAGGGAATTTCTTATGAAATGGGTCATGACAGATTATTTTTAAGTTTCTTTACAGCTTCAAGCAACTTGGACACTGAATCTAAATGAAACCATCATTTTCAGAACCATTCTGTATTGAATAAGACATGAGACTAGCGATAGAGACCATAAACTCATTTAAAAAGTAATAAATCAAGTGAGAAGTAGGATTAGTTTTACATAGACCTCTAAACATTTGGATTTCTATTTCCAACTAGTGGAGTCACTCCCTGCTACACAATAGAAAGAAAATGCAGGTTTACATTTCTAGGACTGGAGATAGCCCATTGCTTATAAGAAGTCAGGCTAAAAACAAAAGCCATCATACAGACTCTCAGACAGATTAGAAAAAAAACCCAACCAAGGTTAGTCCATCTTATTTAAAAGAGAATAAGGGATCATTATTATCAACACGTTGAGCATGTCAGGTTTCGGTTTTACCTCTGGACTGTCTGCTTGTTTGGTAACATGTCTGATTTGTCCCCAAATCTCAGCTTTGCTGGGTTACTGAAAAATACGACCTACATTACAGTAAACAATGAATCATTCTCTAAATGCAACGCTCCATTGTGACAGCAGTGAGAAATATCACTTCTTTCCTTGGCAACTTTTCACATATTCACACGTATTGTACATACATCTATGCAGCATTTTGCAAGCACACAAACAGAGAGAATAAGTATATTTATATTCTCTGACTTTCTTTCGTGTTGGGTAATGAATATAACTTGGTAAAGCGACACACTGTCTCTCGGACCTCCTGGGAATGTAGGGATAGAGTCTATTCCCGGCTCTCGAATAGAGTTTTTCTTGTCACTCTGTTGCACGCATTTCAAAGTGTCGACGTAAAAGACACAGACAGGATGTCTGTGACACGCAGGATGTTGACCTCAGCTTGTGTTTCCCAGGTTCAAATATTTTATGATTGCTACCCAGATCAACAGCTGCTGCATCTGGGGCACACACACACAGACACACACACACAAACCCCAACACACACACAAACACCCACACACACACACAGTGTCTGGACGTTCAGCTGTTATTCACAGGCCGCCTGACTGGCCATAACATACCAAGGTTAAAACCCCCACACGTGAGGGGACAGCAGTCGGATTATTTATGGGTGAGTGGGTTTTGTATTCCTGCTTTAAAGGGATGTTTGAGCAATATGCTTATTTGCTATTTTTAATAAAGTTACATGAGAAGATCTATATCTACTCTCATGTTTGTTGAAAAAGACTAGGGCAGACATTCAGAAATATTATATAAAGACATATCAGAACCAACCATCACTGTTGCCTCGATTCACCACATCAGGAGAAGGGCTGTGCTGTGAGCGAGAGCCAATGGAGTCCAGACTGTAAAAAAAAAAAAAAAAAAGTTTAAAAAACACATTATTTCAAACTCACATGTGGGTTTTGTATCAATGGAACCAGTTTTAAAGCTTCAAATGTGTGTCTCTAAAATTAGGAAGTAGCTGTATTCAACCTTTCATCAGTTATCTGAAATATCCCCGGTGTGTGCGTCTATATATTCTGGTATGTGTGTGTGCTGACAGATGTCTCTCACCTGTCTAGGGAGTTGTCACGAGTGTGTTGTGGTGGAGAGAGAGAGTCACTTCTCTCAGAGTCCCAGCAGTCGTAGCCGCTGTCCCTCACACTGCGCTTCTGTGAACCGTCACCACTTTCATCACTTTCCTAGAAACACAAATAAAAAGCATTAAAACAATATATGGAAAGGAGCATGATGTAGAGTAAGACCAATAATATAAGAAGCTCCCTCAAGAAAATGCCTGGGTTGAGAAAATGATTGCAAAGGAGGCCAAAAGAAAGGAAAACATTTGAAGGGTTGCACAAAGGATCCTAGGTTTTTCTGATGATGATTTTCTGATTTGATTTAGGTATTATTTAATTTGGTATGGGAATTGTTTAACACAGTTGCAACAAAAAAAAACAAGCGATTTCCCAATGTCCAGCTTGAAATTGTCATGAAAATTCCAGAGACTGGACACCAACACAACATGTTTTGTAGTGTTTAATGGAAAATGTTGTTTTGTTCAAGTTGAAAATAAGATTCATAATGTCCGAAAAACAATAGAAAAGTAGGACCGATTTGATTAGGGAAAAAATCTCACACTAATTAGTTGTGTCCTAAAATATAAATGTCTTCTTTAAGTTATTGCTAAGGAAGATTGTGCTACGTTTAAGCTTTTAAGGAATAACTTAAGATAAAAAAAAATGTATATTAAGATGCTTCATGCAACCCGTCATAGATATTCATGGTATTTTGAATCGACGGCCAGTTTAACCAACAGATCAAATGTGCTGAGACATTCTTCTCTCCTTTCTTTTGTCCTGTGTATCTGTTCTGTGTCTCCCTGAAATAGGAGGAGGGGCTGTGTTGTTACAAAAACAAAAATGTGTTTGTCTCCCGTTTGGTGTGACTCTGCTGCACCCCAACAAAGACAGGAAACTAAGAAATCCATCCCCCGCACCTCCTCCATGCCGCTATCTGTGTTTCTCCCGCTCCTCCCCCCTCCCCCTCTGTCCTCTTCACCGTGTTCACTCACCAGCCTCATTTGAGCCAGAAGCACTTCAAACTCCTTGAGGTTGAGAGTAGGTCCGCTGTAGGAGGCGCAGCCGCTGGCAGCCTTCCCCAGCCAGAACAGAGTGTTCAGCACCTGAGAGATACAGGAGTGTGAAGTATATTCATGAATGCTAAACACACTGATATAGACGATAAAGCAAGACAAATAAATGAAACTGTAATAATGACTCACATTTTTGAGTTTGCGGTTGCAGTCAGAGTCCCTGATGACAGAGAAGTGTGTTAGTGTCAAGCGAAACTACGTTAAAAGGATAGTTTGGATTTTGCAGCGGGGTTGAATACGGTTATTATCCATAGTCAGTGTGTTATCTACAGTAGAGATGGTAATCAGCATGTCCTGTGTTTCAGCCTTGGATGTTAAGCTGCTGGTGACCTGGGCATCAGCTAAACATATGTTCAAGATAACAGAGCCTTTTGAACACACCATTTTTTGTCTAGCCTTGCATTGATCGCTAAGTTGTTTTAGTTTTACTTTGGTTAGTTCAGATTCACCCAAATCACACAACAGCTAAAACCAGGTTTTTGACCAGTGATTTGCAAAACACTGCACCTCCATTAAAGGTCTCCTATTATACTCTTTTTCATCAATATATTATAGGTCTCAGATATATACAAAACATGTCTCGCAAGTGTTTGCCTCGAAATACCAAACAGATCACCCATTGCAGCATCCCATAATCCCCTCTGTTTCAGCCCTGTTTCAAAAGTGCTGATTCTCTGTCTGTTACTTTAGATGAAAATAAGGTGCTACTCCCCACCGCCTTCTGAGAGATATTTGGTTAAAAAGAACACAATAGTGCTCTAGGAGGAGATTCAGGTGATAAGGTGGGGGGGGGGGTTACCTTGGTTGGTTATTGGCTAATGGTTACACAAGCCAAAAAATCGTTATGACATCATAAAGTGGCCAAAATCTGATCAGCTCATTTTCAGACAGGTTTTTATATAAATGGATCAGGACAAAAAGAGAGAGAATCTTTATTCCTGAAACGTTCAGAATCTCTTTACACAGAGGGGACACATGTTTATGTATACAAGACATGAAAAAGTGGATTTTGCATAATAGATGACCTTTAAGGAAAGAATCGGTACGTAGGTGGAAGAGGTATAAGGAACGTAACAGTTAAGGCTTTTTCAATAAATCAATGCTACAAATCTTTCTCCATTGGCGACTGAAATCCTGCACACACGAAATATACACTTTTGGGATCCACTTATTATGAATAAGTCCATCATACAACCTCATTTCAAACAATCCAAACTATCCCTTTCAAATGGACAATAAAGAAAGGCACAGAAACACACACAGCTATTTACTTGAGGTTAGCTCGTATGGAAGTGTCCTGCAAGTCCCCGGGGTCGAACAGCTGGGAGCCCCTCAGGCCCAACTCCTCACAGCCCCGCAGGAAGACAGACAGGTTGTCCTGTAAGACAGAGAGCAGGGGACCACAGTCAGAGTTTATCACTTTGACGAACAGGCCGGCTCACAGTGTTGATGTCACACTGGAGAGTGTCCTCTTACCAGGCCAGCGATGGGGGTGGGCAGTCTGTTGATCTTCTTGACCAGCCCTGGTTTGATCTCACTCAGCAGCCTGACAGAGGAGGAGGGGAGAAGCAGAGATTTATTGAGTCTTAGAAGGAGTTAATGTATGTTGTTGCTGCTTCAGACATCAAAACTGAGTGGGGGGGGGATGTCAGAAGCTTACTCGCATAACAGGATGCCGTTCTCCAGTCCACTGCGGAAGTCCTTTTCTCCAAAGCTCTTCCCTGTTACAGCCTGGGGGGCAAAGGAAGAGACAGATGTAAAGGCGGTGGACTAGAAATATGGCTGCAACTACCTAATAGTTTTAGTGATGATTCCTTCTTTATTAGTTATTTTTTGATAATCAAGTTATTATTTATTAGGACATTTTAATTACAAGTTCCTAGAGCCGAGGATGATGTCCTGAACAAACCAAAATCAGAGGATATTTAGTTTATAATGATTCATTGTTCTGGCTGAAAGTATCTTTTTGTTGTTATAATCTATTGATTATCAAGTAAAGAAGTGCATAAAGTCTGTTGAATAGTGCCTCATTGTGTCGCTGACAGAGGAACCTGCTGCTGCCCAGTTCACCCTTCCCCCAACATGTTTTGCTTCAGTAGAAACCAAATGAGAGTGACACACTGCTCTGTGTCCTCATTTCATTTTCCTGATTTAGATGCACGCAGTCGTAGTCTGAGCGGACCATAACCTCAATCCTCTAACCTGAACTCCAGTTTGACGTCTTTCCTGCACAGGCCGGAGAGGAGGAGTGAGATATTACCAGTCCACACACTGCTTTCTGGAGCTGTTGTGTAACCAGCAGCCAAAGATCAGCAGAAAATAAGAGAGGTTCGACTCTTTAGACTTCTAATCCAGATTAGCACAGATTATAGCTAGCACCGAAACTGCTAACTGCAGCCACACATTCTCTCTACGTCTCCACTGCTCATATACAGTATACTGTATGCTATAATATACTGTACATCCTCCTACAAACAACACACACTTACGCTGAGTAAATGGGTCTATATTTGTCTGCAACTGACAACAATAAATAATATTTTTGATTTATTAAGAGAATTAGTCTTTGAGATTTCTTTCTTTTTCTGTTTGTCCTTTATTTCAGGTGATATTTAGCAAATCATTTGTATTTATTTTTGTGAAGTTCGAATGCACGTGTACCAAACATATGACAGGAAAACACCCACACTCTGAAAAAAGCCTATTGTTTTATAGTTATATAAGTGAAGACCAGATGTTTCCCATTGGCATCACTTTCTTTTTCTTGTCCATCATCACACACACACACACACACACACACACACACACACACACACACACACACACACACACACACACACACACACACACACACACACACACACACACACACACACACACACACACACACACACACACACACACACACACGATCTTGAAACATTTACAGCATGGTCATGCATAATTTACTGACCAAGGAGAGTACTCTATTGAGGGAGAGCAGGATGACTGTTTGTGTGGATAGTGTGTGTTTGTGTGTGTGATAAAGGCCACAGACAGTTTGTAAGGGGTGGAGGTGGATAACGATTGGTTATGTATAAAATGCTGAAACTGAAGTGCAAAAGATAGACACAGTGGCTGATGTGCGCTTACATATTTTGGATTAAATTGGGATGAAAACATATAAACAAGAGAGTGACGTTTGATAAGTGAGCATTCATGACTGCTCCAAAAACCATTTCAAAGGCCTTGAGGGTATTTCAACAGTAATTCGACCCTCGCTCCCTGCCAGTCTCCATGGAGGATTGCTCTGCTCAGTCTGGGTGAATGGCAGCAGCAGCTACCATTTAAACTGTGTGTGGGGAAGAGGGGAAGCAGAACTAGGCCAAAGTACACGTTTCTTGTATTTTAACAACTGTAAAAAAAAATTGAAGGAATGAGAGGCTACAAATTAGATCACAGGAGCAGAAAAATATGCAGTAAATTAAGTTAGATGTGATATTTTTAATACGTACATCACATGCTGTATTGTATTACAGCTCAGGAAAGCCACGATTATATAGGCTCTGACTAAAAGTCTTACAAATTATAAGAGGCCATGCTGCTGCACTGACAGTTTGATGTTTATATATATCATGGGACAACCAGTCCATATCCTGAATTGACCCCAAGTTCTCTCATGTATTACCATTCAAATCTGAGAGGTAAGCTACTGTTTTTCAGAAACATAAATACTTCTATTACAGTACTTATTTTATCCACCAAACACAAAGGGAAATTCCTTTTAAGTGAATTTGATTAACAAGGAAAATGGATTACGCCAGAGTTAGCTAGATAGCTACATTTCATTAGCAGTCCCTGCGGGAAAAGCCATAGAACAATTATGGCATCAAATATTACAATTCAATGCATGTGACTCAAATGTAAAATTGATGTATGGGATGCACATTGTTAAACCAAGCTTAACTGCCCATGTGCTCCCAGGAAAGCCACTTTACACTGAGCAATCTGGTGCCACTAAATGTTTTTAAAGCTCGGTTGGATGCTACTCAATCGGAAGCTGTTGGTACCTGTTCATGTGGATAGTTATGTAAATTGTAATCCCTGTAATGATGCTGTATGATGTCCTTTTTGTTGTTCTGTTTATGTTTTTATGTTTCATGTGGAACCTACTTGAGCAGGTCTCCCTTGAAAAAGAGATTAATGATCTCAATGGGATACACCTGGATAAATAAAGGTTTGAAATGAAATGAAACTGCCCATGTGCTCCCAGTAAAGCCACTTGATGGAGATGTATAGTGTTAGAGTCCCAGTTGATGCACAAAGAGCTGAGAGGCTGCTGTTTCAATGTGTGGTGTTGCAGAAACATTAGCCTCGGTATGTCATAATGTGCTGTAGGCATCCTGCACACTAATGGACTATCGTGACACACAGAAAAAAGAGAAAAACACAAAAAGAAAAACTGAAAGAGAAATCCATAAAGATGAAGTCATAATCCAGATTGAAGATGAGTTTAATCTGGAGAAAATAACCAGTGATTGGACACTAGAAACCACCAGATAATTAATATCTGTTCAACATGAGGAACCAAAGTACTTCCTCTCAGCACACTTACTGTACTATATCACAGTAAAATGAATTTGTGGTAAAAGTACACTAACATTTTTAGTTACATGTGATATATAGGAGCTATCATAACGTAATCATGGCATGTTATTTTGTATTTTTAAATCAATGATAATATACAAAATGGGTCAAAATAAGATAGTGACCTTTAATATACACATATGTCACTCTGCACTGTGTGCATAGAAATGAAGTCAAGTGTAATTTGTAATTTGATCTTTATTTAACTTCTGAGATAAGTACAAAGTACACTTAAATGCAAAAAGTAGTAAAGTAGGTATGTTATTTCCCCCACTAGGACTAAGAGTCTGTTTTCATGTACATTTCAGTGTCCTTTGCATCCTAAATGAAGTAAAGTTAAGCGTAACACTTTTTTTTTAATACAACACAACCTGAAGTAATGCTAATGAAATCTGCACCATGCCAAGATGTGTAGTTTTATCCGTGGGAAACTGCAAGTATTTTGGCAACACAAAAACTTCAAAAATCACTGAGGCATGAAAGACATCTGTGCGAACAGTAAGCCTATCCCATCATTATTCCACATTCTTTCATACAGCATTTAATGCATGGAAAATCCCATGAATCCCTGCTCTCACACTCTCTCTCTCTCTCGTGCAGACACAGCTGGCTGTCTGCGACCATTGGAGATAATCTGCCTCGGACAGACAGCTGTGGCATCTGGCACACACACACACAAATATATTCTTTGGTCTATCTATTCCCCTGTGTGACTGACCTCACCGGCTATGTACTGTATGCCGGTGACAGCAGAGGTTAACTGCTGTCACCAAGTTTACGTTATGTTTCCTCTAAGCATGTCCAACTTTAACCTACTCAATCAACGACACATCCACCAGGTTTAAGCACATTCGATGGTGTGCACTGTGCATCAGCTTTGAGACAGTCTAATCCTGCCTTGTCTCGTCTATAAACAGATAGAAAGGTCTTGTCTGTACCCGTGTCATTTCCTGCTCTGGTCATGTGGTGATAGATTGCCTACTGCTCTACTGCTCCCCCTGGAAACAGCGACACCTGAGAGGCCGCATGTTATGTTCCCATAGTGACCAGTGTCACCCAACCGGGGCGTGTCTGAGGAGTGTGTGAGATGTATCATGCATAGCTGATTGACATTTGTGTGTGTGAATACACTTTGCATACTCTTAGAAAGAGGCACACAAACTGAAAATGCAGCATGGAGCGTGTTTAACCCTGAATCATCCACACCTGTGAAAGCGCATAAATACACCACTAGAAATAGAGTCGGCCTGACCGGACTTTAAATAACTGGAGAATTAGGAGGCAGCAGGACGACAAAGCAAGAGGAATACACTACAGGAGAGAATAAGACCTAGAGCAACTTTGACCTAGACTACTAACATTGATTCTTTTTAAATGCAGACCAAAATGTGCTTATTGTCCCCTTCCTGGTAACAAAACCTGTTAACGTTTTTTTAGTGATCCAAAAGACCACAACGCTTTGACTGGGAGCAAGATGAACTTCATTTAAGAGGGATGTCATGTTAGAGGTCAATTGTAATTCTGATTGATTTAGGAATGCCCCCCAAAAAATACAGACTACCAATTCTATTATTCTTACGCTTTAAACTAAATGTTTTTAAAAACAAGGCCTTTTTATAATTTAATTAGGTATTTCTTTTAAATCACAAATATTAGTTTTATCAATAAAAACATTTTTTCATTTTATATCTAAATAAATCTAGCTCTTTTAATTTGCTCTATATCTTGGATTTTGAGAACGTTTTATTACCAGTTTAACACAAAACTTTTAAGGTTATAGGAAAGCACTTTATGTTTTTGCAATGTTTGGAAAACTTTATCAAACTGGAATATATAAGAAATGCTTTGTTATCCTTTTTTTATAAATTGGGTGGGGCACAAGCATGATTTGAAAATCAGATATGTCCCAACTCAAACATCATTTATTGAAGGGGTAACTTTGCAAGTTTACATTTAAATTATCTATGCATATTGATATAGCTAAAGCTACCTCGATCGGCCGTTGTTCTCCACAAGCAGAAGAGCGTTTAATTCCTTCAAATCAGTGTCATAACCTTATCAACATTTAATCCGAAATGTCCTCTGCATAATCAATCCTAAATCTGTTTCATAAGTGTTTGTTTGTTCCGTTTAGAATTTTTTAACCAATCTGTCACCTTTCTACTTCTTTGACAATGGAAAGAATCATTCTATCTTTATCTATTTTACAACAATTCTAACTCTGTGTAAAGGTGTTTGCAGTCTTGCATTAACTACAATTCAGATTGTAATATAACTATCCATCTCACTCTCTGCAATCTACCACAGCTTGTATGGATGGGAGATAGTGGGAGTCCTGTGAAAACACATCTATCGTGTGAAGTTGAAGCCAAAACTCAGCTTAGAGCTTTAGAGCTCATTTGTGTTGTACTTCCAGGCTTTATTACCCAAAGCTGAGATGCTAGTTGGCAGGTAGCTATAGCCTGAAGCAGGGACAGCAGAAAATAGGTCATCATAACTCAGCTCCACAGGGCAAAATCATGATTCACCGCTCAGGCTCAGAGAGAGAGACGTTTTTATCCAAGCAGATGATGGTGATGGTGGAAGAAGCGATGCAGCAAACCCCAAATAATAATCTCATTCGATGGGATCAACGCTACAGCATCTAGTGCGTAAGTGCTGGCCCGTTTTTATCACTATGGCAACCGGAATCCCCTCTCACCCGGAGAAAGGGGGCGTTACACCACCGAGCAAGTAAAAACATCAAAACAAACGGTACATAATGGCTACTTTATGAGATTTAATTTTCAGTTTTTTTCTAGCTCTGTCCTTGCTTTAAACCCCCCACGTTACTGGTGTGTGTGTTAAATAACGCCAGGACACACATGTTACAACTTTTACGTTGTCCACACATGCAGAGCCGTTGTCCCACACGGTAACCCGACACTGCATCGTCCCCACAACAGGTGACGGTGCACCGGTGCTCTATGTATTTATATCCCCCAGTAATGGACGTGTCTGTCCCGCGGTGCTGTAGCAGCAGGCCCGTGAGCCTCCCGGAGCGTCTCTTCACTCACCTCTATCCATTTCTGAGCCTCCAGACAGGCTGGTTGGGGATGGGGCTGAGCCGACGCCTCCGGCTCGTCCTGCGGTGAAGCATCCGGGACTTCTCGACCTGCTGTGGGGCTAGCCATCTCCTGGCTGTCCGTTAAACGAGCACCGGAGAGTGTATCGGACGCTGGTGATATGGGGACAAGATGTGTTGGCGCTCCCCCCCCTGCTCTGTCAGTCTGTTATCCCCCTCCTCGCTTTCAAACATCGACCGATCCGCAACTTCACGCACAGTCAGCGCGTTGCGTAGCTCTCTCGTGCAAACCGCGAGTCCTGCTCCAATTGAACAGAGATGGAGAGAAAAGCTTCTCGCGACCCCGACACCGCAACACGAGCCAGGCGCTAAAAATAATGATTCCTGTAGGCGACGCTGCGCGAGGCCGCTGCCGCGCATTTCAGAAGGGACGTGCACGCGCAGACAGGAATCTATGCGGGGGAGGTCGAGAGATATAGAAAGAGATAGAGGGGAGAGGGAGAGACTGAAAAAAATATCCCGTTATTTCTCCTGCGTCAGCTGCAATTGACAGTTTCAGGAGATTTGCTGTATGCTTACCAGAGTATTAGAAGTCCACTGGTTTCAAACATTTATAGAAATATTACAATGAAATTTAAAAACGTAGAGCTTTCACGGTTTATTGCTCAATTTGAGTCAAAAGACCTCAGGCTTCAAACATGCAACAAAAAGTCTAAATTATTTGAAGCTAGGCCTATATTGTATTTGTTTAATTAATTAATAAAGAAGCATCTACCCCCAGGCCCTCAGACTCTCAATGGCCTGAGTTAATTTAATTAATTGCATATAACTTTTCAAAAATAAACTCGTAAAATGCAAATGTTTTTGTTCTGTGTTTTGATAGGGACCCACACAACATATTTAAATATCCACATTTTTTTCTGTTATTTATTTGCTTCAATGATGCAAATACAGTTGTGTTTTTTGTCTGGGCAAAATATTATGAAGCTGTCCCACAACACAGTGTGCTCTGTACCCAATGGATACTTCAAGGCAACATTATGACCTCACTTTCTAACAGCTTTGCCTTAAGTTGCTAAAAATAAGAATGCCCCATGTATGATAAGACAGCTTCTGAGAGATTTGTTTCATCATAATTTGGAAGAAGCTACAACAATCTATAGCACTAAAAAGTCTTACAAACTGCACTTCATAAACTGACAAAAGAATAGCTTGGCAGTCCTCAGCAGTGTTGTAAGCAATCAGTGCTATTGATACTTGTGCGTACACAGTTGTGTCGATAGCTTATGCCCTTTAGTATTTGATGAAAATGTGACCTTTTTAAACAGCAGGGTTAACCTTTATTTTCTGACCATTTTGAAAGAAAAGTTAAAGGAGAGACTAGTGGTACCCTTTTTACTTCCATACCCGCTTTCCTAAAATATAGATATTTCTCTGTATTTTAGAGGCTTATACTGTACATCACACTGTGCATGCTCTTTTCAACCCAGAGAAAGGTCTTGTGTCAGCAGTGATGAGTAGACTGAACAGACAATCTATCAACTCTTCAGTCATCCTCCTCCCGTTTCATCCCTTTACAGCTGAACTGCAGCCAGCACTGGTCAGGATGAACCCCCAGCTGTGAGGGCTGCATGACATTAACCACTTCATCACCTCATATGACACGAGCGTGAAAGAAGTTTCAACTAAAATGCCAACTGGGAACTGGGGGAGGTCAAATAAAGGTTAAAGATTGGGTTTTGAAGGAAGAGAAAGAAACGGACCAGAAGACACATTTAAGTCTAATGGTTGCTTTAATGAATTCCCACAGCTGCATCACCAACAGAACTACAGCAACATAGTATTAAAACAGTGCAGGAAGTTAAACAATTGTAGCACAGCCTAGCTCGACAACACCCCAATATAGAACACTTTATTTTGATGGTCCCTATAGTGTTTTGAAGTTTTGTATTGTATGTGTCAAACTTGTACACTTACAGTGTATTTGACTATTTTTACATTGTTAAGTGAAAATCCATTTTAAAATAAGTGCAAACAACATTCTCTTGTAATCATTTCTGAAAACATAGGTTAACAACTGGTATCCACCACTACCAATTACCAGAAGTGTCACCCAAGAACAAATGCCACTCAAAGCCAGGGTTGCATGCATTCTCCTAACAATGGTTAAATTATTCCTATGGATAGATTTGGGCTGTTCTGAGGAATGTCAGATTGTTTTAAACTGAACTAAATGCTTTCAGAAAAACAGGCAATGTTTTCTGCCTTTTCCTTCCCACTCGTCTTTATTCTAGTTATTGGCACAAAAGGTATTTATGCAAGCATCAGTGTTGAGAGTTTGACACAGATGCACCAATTAATACATACAAAACAAGTTGCAAAAAGACACATAGAAGCAGTTGTGAGGTGAGGTCTAACCTCATGTTTTACAATTCCCATTGCTGAATGATATCACATAAAAGGTTTAGCTAGCTTGTATCAGTTAGTTTCATCAGAACAAAAGGGTTTGATGGTGTCCTTGTGTGTATGTGTACATGTGCTAAAGAATGCTTTGTTCATGAGATGAAAGTACTTTATGTGGCAACAATGTGTGCTTTACAGTGCATAGTGTCTGCAGATGCGCGTGTTCACAGGTTGTTCTGGGTGCCGGCTGAATGTGGCCACGTGAATGCTTCAGGACATTTTGGTTTACAATTTGGTTGTGTCCTACCGAACATTTAACTCTGACAGAGAGCAACCGCAGAGAAACGGACCTCGCCTTGCTCTCTCTCCATGAATCCACGGCACACCTTAGACGCATCCTGTGCATGGATTACAAGTAAAAAAAAGATTACGCAAATAAAACTTGCATGTAATTCACAATAATGTACTTCTACTCAAGGTTAAAGTTATTTTATCACTATACACCAGAAATACTTTTACTACACTTAAGACATCTGATGTTACTAGCCATGAAGGAAAGACTGTCCTAAGGAGGATTTTTTAATATCCGGGTACATATTACACAATATCTTTATAATCCCCGGTAGGCCTGGGTACCATTAATAAAATATGAATACTGTAAAATGAGGCTTGGTGTGATTAAATATGGTTGAAGTCGTAAAACATTGTATTTTCATATATATATATATATATATATATATATATATATATATATATATATTTTGTATAACTTATTAGTAAGTTCCAGCTTAGTAAAATTATGTTTATCATTATATCGTTTTTTTAAAGCGTGTTTACAGTATTACCAGAAGCAGTCCTAAAATTATTGTTACACTTCATAAATACTGTATATCAACATTTTATATAATCGATGACACTAAATAGAAGCTGTAAATTCAAGTCTGTGACTTTTATCTACCATTATCTTTTATGCATCTATGAAGGTATCTCTAATATTGCTAAGGGTTTATACTTATTTCTTTACATGATAGCCAATATATCATATGAACATTTAATGTCGTGATTTCATTTCTAGTGCACGTAGCGCCATCATGTGGTGGTTTTATGCGACAATCTCACAGACTTTTGATGAATTTAACTGCACTCTTTCAGACTGATTGTTTTTCCAGTTGTATCAGTCATACTCGCTATGATTTTCCTAAAAAAATACGTTATTCACCTAACAACCATTCTTGGCTTACAAAGTTACTTGGTGGTTGGCATTGCTTAAATCATCATTACATTGAGATTATTGAAGATGTAATGTTTAAAATTTCAATTTCTACCAATCCACACATTTTTTATGATCCCTATAGGAGGTTTGAGAGCGTGCATTAGCCAAGTTTATTGATTGAGTCAAGATACTCGGAAATGACCACTCCCTATTCCAGTCCAATACAATGACTCATCACAGATCACACGCATAAAAGGAACTGGGCTCACAATGACATACCAACAAATCCAGAATGGACACACAATGGTTATAGTTTTGCCTACCGTAATAAATGACCCATCTTTGGTATCTCCATGCTTCACTGGTCCATTCATTCTTCCATCTTAAAAAAAAATAGATCATATATTTTAGGATCAAAGACATAAAAAAAAAAAACACATAGAAGAGTGTGCATAAGGAGTTGAAATGCTTACCAAATTCATGAAGTTGTCCATTTGCATTGACAAAGGCAATAAAGTGGAAGTTGACTTTGTCAGCTTCCGGCTGGGAAATTAAAGATACGAGGAATTAATTCAGAGTAAATATTGTTACATAAAGAGAGAGAGAGAGAGAGAGCACACAAATGGGCTATCAAGAAAGAAAGAGTGTGCATATTGGGAAACACGTTAAACTGAAAAGTATGTATTTTTCTGATAATTATTCTTTGTATTCAGCGTTATCAGTGTATGGGGAAACACTGCAGATTGGAATCTCTTCAACTGTGGCATGTGTCAGCTGTGTCACATGAATAACTCAAATTATGTGAATTTACTACCTTAAAAAGTAGCCAACAATGTAGGCCATATGTACTGTAGAGTAGGGCTGCTCGATGATGGCAAAAATCCTAATCACGATTATTTTGGTCAATAATTGATATCACGATTATTAAAAAGCGATTATCCATTTACTTTGAAAACAAAAAAAATGTGAACAGTATGTTTTAACAGTTGATAAGCCTGAACTTTAAGTATAATTCAACTGAAAACACAATAAAATAAAAAAAATCATCGTTTTATTTCGATTACGTTGTTTTCGTAATCGTTGCAAGCCAAAATCGAGATTAAAATAAGATTAATTGCACAGCCCTACTGTAGAGGATATTGCGTTTGGATATCTTACCCTGCACTGGCCCTGCACGGCAACCTCATTGTGAGCCTCATAGATTGCCTGTAGGAGAAACAAACATGTGTCAGTTATAAAAATGATCATTTTAATTTATTTTTTAAATACACATGTTCAGATGTTTCTGATCAAATGACAATCAGATATGTAACATGTTGAGTTTTTAAATGGCACACATTTGTAATCGTTCATGGTGTAACAAAATCCCAAAAAAAAGTAAAGCCGTTATCAGGCTGGCCTTTAGAGTGACAGAGATTTAGCGATGTCTGGCACCCCCAAGTGGGTAAAACAAAACATGTAGGTACTAACAGAAATGTCAGAAATTGGGTGTTTGATTTGGGCTTACATTTGTTTTTAATGTAGTAAATGCAGTTAAAGTGTTATTTGATGACGAGTAATTTAATTTGAAATACTTTTCCAACATTTATCTATCCAAATCTCTATTTTTTTTTTATTCAGCTAACAGAAGAACATAAGCAGCTTCCACAGTGTGTATGTTTATCTCACCTGGTTCTTCTCCAGATGTTTGGCACGGTCATCAGCAGACATGTTTGCAGTCTCATCTAGAAACTTCTTCAGGGCAGAGTCACT